AGTATGATCCAGGACACAGGTCTCCAACTACAGTCCTGCAGAGCCCAGCTCTGCAAAGTTACTTCTCTGCCTGTTCCACCACACCTGATTCAACTGAAGAAATGGGTGGAAATGATCAGAGATGTGGAATCAGGTGTTAAATGTAGGGAACCTCAAAAACGTGCAGGGCTGGGGCCCTCCAGGACTGGAGTTGGAGACCCCCAATCCAGACTACATGCATCTATAGTTGTTTTTTTTTCTTTTTGAACAATAAACCATCATAAACCCTTAACCATGACCGGCTGAACACTGAACCCAAAGAGAGCCACAACCATAATCTGAATATACAGTCTGGGTCATGTGACCACTGAAATGGTCCTGGTCCGGCTGCAGTCACGAATGGGCTTCAAAAAGCAGGAGACGCCACTCAGCTGCCTGCTTGCGGTCATATGAAGCAGCGGCGTGGAGCCTGCTTGTGTGCATATCTCCCTCTCCCATCTGTCCCACTTCCCTCCCTCCTACCGCCATGTTCTCTCTTTCCTCCATCTGTTCTGCCCTCTTTTGTTCATTCAAATTTTCTTTTCCATGTAACAGCAATCATGAGCCCACTGTCAAGCGACTAGGAAACAAAGACTTCCTGCATGTGCTCACTATACTGTATGAGGGTATGTAACCAAATCAAACAAGGTTCAAAATCAGGAAATGGAACTGGAGTTGGAATTAAAATGTCTCTGAAGTTCGAATTCAATTCCAACTCTGTTCCCCATAGTTTTTTCTTCCAATCCCAACTCCAGTTCCATTTCCTGATTTGCATTGGAATTGATGAATGCATTCTGGAATGGTCCCAACCCTGCAATCAAATCCACCTCCAGATTCAACCTCCATGTCAGTCTTCCTAATTCCACTCTCGAGGACTCAGGACAGTGAATATTATTCTTTTTAACACACATCCATTTCAACCAGTGGTGTAATTATCAAGCCCTTAGCGATCAGATGAAGTTGACTGTAAAATTATCTTGTTCTGAACATTGGTGCACACTCACCCTCTGTACAAAATGTGGCACACAGTGGGCTAGGCCACATCCCCCCACTACCTAAGCCAGTCATGTGACCCTTTCTACCTCTGCCAGTCATGTGACCCTTTCATGTTTGTTCTCTTTAGTCCACACAGGTACAGTTAAAAAGGCATATTTGAAGCCCCCCTGGCCTAAAAGAACCCAGGCTTGATGGGGTGTTTGGAGATGCTGTGTGGCTCAGCAGGTTAGGCTACTGCGCTTGTGATCAGAAGATTGCTGGTTTAAATCCCAGCATCAGCAGAGTGATGTCATCATTCAGCCCTTGAGTGAGGCCCTTAACCTTAATTGCATCAGGGCCTGTCTGACCCTGATTTCTTAATTGCATTTCGCTTTGGAATAAAGCATCTGCTAATGAAATGTACCTTTTCTGTCATTCAGAAGGCGTTTCAGATCCTGTACAGGGGGAAAAAAAAGCAGCTGAAAGATGAATGATGCTTGAGGTTGGCGATACTTCTCAAAAATAAACTCTCAATGGAAAGCTTCAAATTAGCCCCCCGTGTCTCACAAGCTTTAAAATAAACTTTCTTGTGATATTCACACTGCAGAAATTTTAATTAAACGCCTGTGACAGATGTGCTTAAGGTTAGGGAATGCTTAGCTGGCAGCTGCAGCAGTATCGGCCCTCCGAGCGAAGGCGCATCACGCTTGCCGATCTCCTGCTGTGCACCAAGATATTTTACACTCCTGCTTTGCACATACAGAAACCCTCCAAAACATGAGAGGGTGTGTGCAGGGCAGGGGGGGGGGAATGCAGTGCCTCATCTTTATTCCACTTCCAACATGCTTATGAAGCCCCAAATCTCTGAAGAGCCCTTGGAATCAGAAAACGAGGAGCTTCTCAGATTGGATCTCGCATGAAGCTGCCCGGTATCCGCACCCTGACAGAGCCTCTGCCAACACAGCGTCGAGTCGCCCGCTCCCCAACATCCTCATGGCGGCCCTATCTGAAAGGCGGCAGGTTTAATAACTCCAAAAATAGAGCCACAGCTATTTTTAAACTACAGGCACACGCCTCCATCAAAAATAAAACGGGACAATTAAAAACACAACAACATGACATTATTAAATCCCATTTTACTCGGAACATACTTCATGATTTTAAGTGCTCTGACAATTCACAATTCAGAACTGGAACATGGAGGATAAAAAAAATGTAAAAACATTCAGAGAGACCATCACGTGATACCCTTTGGAATTCATTGATCAGGATTTGTTCACCGCTCATTAATGGGAAACGGAAATACAAAAATGAGAAAACAGGAAAGAAGAACTGGAGGATAAAACAGAGCGAGGAGTGAAATCTGAACTGTCTTTTTGGTAAAACTAGTTTGGTCACCATTGTGGGTCTGGTCCAAATCCCTCCCTCCCTCCCACACACACACGCACACATGCACACACACACACACACACACACACACACACACACACACACACACACACACACA